TAAAGTGATGCTTTAAAACACATTGCCTCTATATTTTGAACTGTATCTGTGTTATCACGACTCAAAATACACTTGATTTATGTAGTATTCCCAGAAAACAGTATATTGAAAACCTCCTGAGATTAATATTTTTTTGTACATAATCAATAGAATACAATATAAGCTAATTATATTATTACTGATATAAATTTAGAGCAGTATTTCCCCATTTAAACAGTACTTCCCTATTTATCATCAGGTGACATTCAGACCCACTGTCCACTCCAATAGACAGATATTTTTGAAAAATTCCTGAGTGAAAGCTGGAAATCTTTCACCTGATATTTTGACATGTGTTATTAATATAACATGTCTCATGTTTACTTTAAACACAGCTTAAACACAAGTTATGTATTTTCACAATATGATTTAAAGACTGAAACATGCCTTTCACTTCCTAATTGCCTCACAGTTGGTCATGCTTGTTAATAAAGGGGGCTCTACTGCAGTCCACTTTAGATGAGGTGGAACACTGTAATTGGCTTATAGACATTCCAAAAAATAAGTTTGTGCATTTGGGTGGAGTCAGGTGACAGTAATCATAGATCTAAACATCCTAGAAAAGCTTTGTCCATTGAAATAGACAGGAGATCGGAACATATTAATAAGTGGATTATGTACTTTTCCAGACAGTGTATAAAAATCTTTTAAACAACACACAGATCTTCATGCTGGGAAATAAAAGTGGTACAACATATATTTCAATAGAATAAAATATAAAAAAAATCAAACAATTAGAAACCATGAATGATCAGATAATTAAGATAATCCATCACAGTGAACATCAAGTCTGCTTTAATGTTTGTCAAAGTTGCATTACTGTTATGAGGTTGGATGGATGACTGGCACAGAACCAGAGGCCGAAAGTGTCAGTGGCCCCTGGCCTTCACTTTCAAAATGACAAATTAACACGTGTGGACCAGGAAGAGACACAGAAAGACCACAAAGAGACACAAAATGACATAAAGATGCCTACTGATTAAGAAACATGCAGCAACAACAGCCACAAAAGAGGTGAAACCACAGCAAAGTCTGTGTGTCTTGCTCCTATGCAGGAGAGGGAGGTGGTGCGGCCTTTTGCATATCTATACCCAGGGGTCACTGTCTCATAATCCACCCCTGAGGTCACAGAATTCAGACCTCTCAAATCAGTGTGTGCTTAAAATACATTCCCATGCAACAATAATGTAGCACTGACAAAACATGTGGTCAAAATGATCAGCAAAAATATTAAGTTTACATGTTCATGGTTTAGTTAAAGAGCTAAAACTTGCAAACACGCTTACGGGATCCTTTAAGCCTTTAGGGTCATAAAGTTCCATAAATACATTAACTTAAAATCAAATGCTGAACCTGTGCAGCTGTGCAAGGCAAAGTTAGTGTCTGTCAAAACTTTACACTGTTGTTGCTGTCACGTCTCAAGTAAGTCAAGTCTGTCACAGAAGCCATGTTCGTACAAGTCCTCATTTTCATAACTGGCTCTGATTCAAGTACCGAAATAACACAACGAATACTTTCTCCCTTGAACTTCCCTTGAGTAAGCTGTATTCTTCAACCACACACATAAGTTTTATTTTCTAAAGCCATAACCGGAAGTCCTAATCTGTACGGTAGCGGGCTTGTCACTGGTTGCAGCATGAAACCACACTTTATTATTCAAGGGATTTTAGACCTTTTCCTGAGAAGTTACAAAACCTGAACAAACAGGTTTTCATAATCTTGTCCAATTTAATTTGGCATTGACACGGAATGATTGTTAGTGCTGCAGGTCGAAAATAAGCTTGTGGAGGAGCAACTGTAATGTCAATCTGCACTTTGACATACAGTATTATATAACTTCACAGCATGCATGCTTGCTCTACATACTCCAGTATCTTTCCATTGATACAATCACACAATAACTTAATTTATCTGAATCTAGAGGGGGAAAAATGTTCCATTTGTTCCCGTATTTTTACACTCTGGGTTGAGCTTGTATACAGGAAAAGATAATGCACATAAGCACAGGTTTAAAGCTGCCATTTCTGACCTCCCAAAAGTTCAGGAATAACCCAGCTATCATTTCTTGTTTCCTTTTCTGTCATGAAAATGCTTGTTGTGGTTTGGCCGTTAGAGGGCTCACTTACATAGCTGCTGCTGAGGGCCAGATTCATCATAAATATAGTCCATAAAACAATACTGACTGTCAGAGAGAAGCCTTTACTGCTGCCAAGAGCCGCCATCTGTTTTCATGTCATCTACTGTTATGTTTACTTAATCCATTTTGTGCCAACAGTCCAGTCCAATGTCCATACTGTGGGCTATGATAAACAGGGACGTGTGTGCCAGGGTTGTAGGATAAAGGGCTCCTGTGTGAATAGTTATGTTTACAGAGGAGAAACAGAGCTGGCAGGAATGTGGGGAATTCTTTAATACAACGCTCTTCATCTTTTTCTTTCTGTCTGTAATCATAAATATGGATTAAGTCTAAAGGGTAGTGGTATATAGAATTCTGTATGGGACTGAACTTCAGTCACCTGCTGCTCACAAGGTATCACCACAAGAAAAACACAAACCACTTCATGAACCACTCAAACCAAGTTTGGTCTTGACTATACAGTTTGAAAGTGACGTCGAGCTCTGACATTTTCTCTACATTCAAATTTCAAGACATGATTATAAACAGTGGTAGATGTTCCTGTAGGTGGCATAGGAAGCCATAGGGTGCCATCTAGGGGGGGTAGGGCGCCAAAATTGAACATAAGGGGAATGTTTGTGTGGTGTAAAGCTGTGTTCACACTACAAGCGACACAGCAACAGTGTGACCAGCTACATTATCGAAGAGTCGCAGCTGAAGTGTTGCTCAATCACTCGTTAACGTAGTTACGAGTGATTGATTGGTTGGTGCTTCACCGCATCATTGGAGCGCTGAAAAAAGTCGAGGCTAACTCAATTTCTATTTGTACAATGTCACACCTGTTCGCAGCAACCAACACATTGTCACTCCGACCTCGACACATTAACGTTTGGTCATGGACTTTCCACGTCCAGATACGAGGTGCAAGGTACCCTGGGTGTGTTGGTTGTTGCCATTCTGGGACGCCATGTCAAGTTCTGCCTGTTACATGCATTGTATACACTTCTGTTTACGAAGATTATTTAAAGTTTATATACAATCTCTTTCAAAATAAAAGCACTACGTTGGAACAACACCGTGAATCGACATTTTTTTCCCTCCAACAACAAATGCATGTGGTTAGGTTTAGGAAAAAAGAACAGGGTTTGGCTTTGGAATCTTACGGGATGCTCTCTCGGGCAAAAGTCTGTGTTTGTTGGACCCGTCCACCACCCCACCCGCATGCCCCAGTTGCACTTTTACTGCCTTAACTTTTGACCTTGTCTCACCGCGTTTCCCCTGACGCCACTGGGCGCTGTTAGACTATAACACCAACCTGCCGCGCATCATGCCGACATTAAAGGATGCCTCTTTTTTGTTGGTTTCTGATGCTGAAATTCACTGCCCAAGCCCCGGATTTCGACGACTTAAGAGTGAGACCAGGCTCCAGCAACAAGTGTCGGGTATCAGTTTGTCGCTTCATGTCATCAACTTCCATTGAAAATAACTTAGCCTGTTGCTTTGTTGCTCCTAGTATGAACAAAGCATAAGGAAAAATGAAAAGGCAAATGCATTCGGGGCACAGTACAAAAACAAGAAATTGACATTTGCAAACACAGAATTTTTTTTATCGTTAGTTAGTAAATTGTTTAGTTGTTCTATCTTTCTCAAGCTCTTGTTCTTGTTAGTGTTGTGTCGTTCGCGAACGAATGAATCGTTTAAAAGAACGAATCTGTTGAGTGAATGTACTGAACTGAATCACTTCTGGAACGGATTCGTTCATTTCTCAGTTCAGTTGAGTTCAGCAGCGAGTGTGCAGGGCGGGAGTGGAACTGCAGATTCGGTCCGTACGAACGATGAATCGCTCACGAGTCGCAAGCAGCAAGGGTGCAGGGAGGACTGCCTACCGCGTGATGAATCACTCGGTGAACGAATCACTTGGTGAACGAATCACTCGGTGAACGAACCGATCCCTGAGTGATTCAAATCATTTCTTCTCAGCGATACACTTTCATAGGGACCCTTCTCTCCATGCGAATGGCTAATGTAGCCAGGAGTCAAGCCACATGAACACAATCACACACCTCCCCATTGTTTTAACAGATTTAGTTTCCAGATAAACAAACTTAAAACGTTAGGCTGGCCAATAATGAGACTCACCAGTGCAGGGCAGTCGCAGCAGCAGCTCAGCCGTGTATCAGTTCAGTGAGTCGGACTACGCAGTACACAGTCAGGGCCCCTCCCGCCAAGCACTGAACGATTCGGTAAACGAATCTTTTGAACGAATCTTTTTAATGAACTGATTCTAATGATTCAGTAAAATCTAAAGAACTGCTTTGCCCATCACTAGTTCTTGTTAGAAATAATTGCAATACTATTACTAACAGAATATATATTGGGATGGGGGAGCTGGGGGGGGGGGCTTGGCCGCCAAATGTGCTAGGTCCGGCACTGTTAATGCCTATAATTATGTATTAATAATTTATTGTAATGAACATCACATGGGCTGTTGTACTAAATGCATCATGCTGTTTGTCTTGCATAGTGTGTCTGTGGTGCTCAGTAATGAGTTTACTCTGTGGGCTGAATATTGATAAAATATAATAATATAAAAAGCCAAGCATGGGTCTGTTTAGCTGTGTATTTCTGCAGTAACCAACTCTTTTTTGAAAAAATATTTCATACAGTAGCCTTATGTTTTAAATGGGATATCATTAATATTATAATAAATAATTGGCCCATCCAGAGAAGTTAATGCAGCTAATGGGATGCAGGGGGGTGGGCTCCTCTCTGCAGCACCGCCTCTGTGTTGTGAATGACTTGACCGGGGATGTGTGTGTGTGTGTGTGTTATTTACATTGTAGTGTCAGGGTGGCTGCTCACACGTGCCCGTCGTCTTTGTCCTGCTTCACAGCTCCTCTGGCTGCCATGGGCACTGCCTACAGGGAGAGGAGCTGACTGCCGCCTGTGCCATTTCCTCACATTGCATCCATCCTTTGCAGCAGTCTCCGTCAGTATCTCAGTCCGTGCATTGCGGGAGGAATCTCGGTCTATTTTCCGAGGCACAATGACCGGATCCCCGTAGGCGATACCCGGCGACGTCTGCCCACCTGGAAGATGCTGCTGCTGCTGGGATGATGCGTGTTTTGTTTCCATCTGTGCTCCGGCCGGACGGGTTTCTGTTTGGATGATGCACAGAGGTGTTCTCGATGTCTTTATGTTTCACCCTGATTTGGAAAACCCCCATCCCATCAGGAGATCCATGACCCGGTTTCTGTACCGCTGTCATCATGTCCCCAGCATCGGCTGCAACGGCCAGTGAGAGCAGCACCACCACCGTCCCCGAAGAGGAGCCGGACAGCCCGAGAGAGGAGGTGAGGACGCATCATTGTTTGCAATGTGGAGGCCAATTTTCTTACCCAAACGCACGGGGGGCAAATCAGCCTTTAATTAGTGAGACATATTGCATTGTTATCACAGTGAAATCCAAATAATCTCACTATAATAATCAGATTTAGGAGATTAAGGTCTAACTGGGGCCTGTGCACACGGAACACGTGGGAATTAGTTGCATTAATACAGCTGTTATTAATGGGCTTACATAGATATATGCAGTAGGCTAATATATGAACTTGTGCGTCCAAGCGCGCACCCGAGAGCGTGAACGCGCATGTATGTAGTCCTGTTTGTCTCCCCTCCAGACAAGCTTCCAAAATGTGGTTCTGGGACCTATTGTGGGTCCTGGAAAGGGTCCAAATTGGTCCACAGGAAAATGAAAGTCATGTGTACAATTAGAGAATATGTATGTTTTCTTCACACTAAGAAACCTCCTCCCTGGAACAAAATAGATGTGGGTTTGTTACTTTAATAACAAAGAAGTCCTGCTCCCAAACTCTCTGTGAGGATAGACTCAAAATACTATAATAACCAACCATATTCTCTTGCTGCCAACATCCCTAAATTATACTGACACCATTAAAAAAAGACAGATGCACGCTTTGCATGAGAAATAAAAATTACACTCATTAGGGATCTTTTGCCTGAGTAAGAAACGCAATGTGTTTTTCCATTTCCTCACTGTCACTGCGTAGACTTCCCCTTCAAACACACATGTTAGACAAGTTACATATCCATTACACAAGAGGGTTTTTATATAACCCCCACTGGTCTTATTATGTCAAGAGAAAAGTGCCCATGAGTATGAGAGGCACTTAGTTAAAGGCACCGCCGTGGTCTCATGACTTGTGAAGCTTCTCCAGTCGTGAAGGTTCTGACTGAGACATTTGTTTTCTAAAATATTGATTACATTTCATAACAGACTGGTTTAAGGATTTTATTCTCCCTGCAGAGATGACAACTTTAATTCCAGTTGGAGGCTCTTTTAGTTTGGAAATTTAAAGATATACTATGAAGGGTTTTCCTAAGTGTGAGACTCTGGCCTCGGGGCTTTATAAAAAGGTAGCAAACAGCTGCCAGACTGTAAGCAGCAGGCATCCAAGAGACGCAGCACCAAAAAAACCACAAATATAGTGAGGTGACACGCCACATGAGAGTGAATCTGGGGTTGGCTTTTAGGGTGCTTTCACACCTGCCCTGTTTGGTTCAGTTCAATCGAACTCAAGTTTGTTTGTCCCCTAAGTGCAGTTTGTTTTGGCAGGTGTGAACCCAGCAATCACACTTAGGTGTGCACCAAAACAACCGGACCATCACCGTCTTGAAGAGGTGGTCTCAGTCCGGTTACAAACTAACTCTGGTGCAGTTTGTTTGTGGTGAGAAAGTGTTCCGACCTCGATCCGAACCAACTGCAGTCACATGACACATTGTTTGGGTTAAACATGAGCATGTTACAGTTACACGATGAGCAGCGCTAAAATCAACCTGCGTAGTTGTCCCTCCATTGTGACATTAGAAAGTGTCACATTTATCTTGCAAGTGTACTCTTCTTCAACATTTGGTTTACTTCCTGGATTTTTCCCACATGGAAATTCTGACCAATCACAAAGGTAAAACTGATATCAGCATGCAGGCTGGTATGCTGAATATCCTAAAAAATAATAGTTGTGCTCTGTTCTCTATGTTTAGTTTTACATTTCTTTACCTACTTCCTTGTGTGTGGGACAGTACAAAACACACAACACAGCTGCAAACAAATGTCAAATATAATAACAGAGCCTCCATCTGAGTGAACCTCAGAGGCTCTTTACACCATTTTACACCCCAAAAACCACAAATACTGGTGTTTTTTGTCTTTGCATGACAAACGTTTGAGGTATTTTCCCCCCAGTATGCTTAATATGAGGTCTTTCATGCTACTCAACCAGGCCACAGGAATGCCTTTGTCTAACCTATCAAAAATGTCAACACCACTGTGTTCATGTGGTGAGTCACTTCCTTCCTTCTCTGCGATCCATAGCCCTGATGAACAGCTCTGTGATGATCTTAAGCAGGGAGTTTTTTAATTAAAATGTCATTTTAAAGTAAGACACTAAGCCTTCAACTCACTGTTCCTGAAGCGTCTACTCATCTCTGGTATAATTCTTAAAGTCAGGGCTGAAACTGGCGTCCAATTAAATTTTGTGAGCTACACCTTCATTTACATATCTGCAAATATCTATCTATGACAGCTGCTTTAAGATTATATTTGTTTTTCATTTAAGCCACAGCCACGTACAGGTACATTTGCTCACCATAAAAGTGTTTCGACTGTTCGTCATCGTTCCTGCTGCTTGAACCGAGGCTGTAAAGTGTAACATGAGCCACAAAGTATGTCATGTTATATTGATTATAGTTGCCGAGCGTGTGCAGGATGCTAGTGAGTAAATACTCCTTCTGCAGATTCTCAACAGGGAATGTCAATGCTAATCCCTTCTACCCCGTGGGGTGTAGCCTCGGGTTGGTAAGGGACCTGGGGACCATGTGGCCAAGGTGGGGAGGATAATTACGGAGGAAAAACATCTATTATTTATACTTGTCTGTCACTCGAAGAGCACAGAGCTGACATATTGAATTCAATACATCAATGCAGTGGTGCTGGTTGTTGTGGTCACACTTATGCAGGCGCTGACCTATGTAAGAGATGGAGGGGATAACCTTTGTTTTCAAACTGAATCACTGCTGCTACAGTACAAATGTTTTATGTCTACACACAGTAAGCTCTGCTAAGGTGCATTATCTGTTATGCTAATTTTTTTTGAATGGATTTTGTTATAATTCTTCCTTCCCGGGGCTTTTGAATCTCTGCCAGGTTTGTGTGGCAGTGTTCCCAAAAGGCGTGACTAGCTCTTGATGCATGCACTGGGGCTTGCTGTGCCCCGCGGTGATAAAGGATGGCACCAGCTTTATGCTGCCAGAGTCAAACGGCTGCTTTTTTCTGGCTGGCTTGACATTAAATGTGTAATCTACCCCTCAGAATATTTCTGCTCTTTTTACTTCTTTTATATTCTCAGATATTATATTTATATAAAAGGCACGCACCATGGCCACGTGCACACCCACACAGCAAACAGATTCACACTGCTCCTTACTGGTATCAACGTATATACTTAACATTGTTCTTTTGCATTAAGCAGACATTTATCTTGAATTTGATTATGAGAGTGGGTGAGTCGTTTGATTATAACAAGCGCAGGCCGAGGCATGAGCAGTCAGCTCGCAGCTCATGCATAAACTATGCAAAAGCACTTACAACGCAGAATATTTCCTTGAATATTTTATATGCATGAGCCACCACTTTTTAACTGCTTCTAACTTTGTACCAAAAACAAATTTAGGTCATGTTCATCAATTAAATTACACTTTTATACTGCAGTGTGTAATTACAGATAATATAACCCTTTATCTTCCCTATGGCTTTGAGGTTATATTCTGAGGAATTATGTGAATACACACAGATGAACCTTGAGTCAAGAATCTAAACAGCAGGGCCATAACCACCCATTGAGCATTACAACCAAACCCTTGAGGGAAGCCTGGGAGAAGTTTGAGGACACTAAACAGCTGAATAGACCATTCTAGAGCATTTTGAAACAACAAGATTAGACGAGGGGTTCTCAAAGTTTGATGACTGAGTGCCATTTTAGGGAGCCAGCGTATCATTGGAGGCCATTCAGGAAAAGTGAACACACTATAATTTTGTCTGACATACTATACCATGACTTTTTATGACCTTTTTATGACATACTAAAACTTTACAATACCTATAACAATCGACAGTGATTTAGGCTTATAAAACTCAAATGACATTGTAGTTTTCACCCTTTTAAATACATATAAAAGTAATGAAATAAAGGCAGCACAGTGTTTGACAGTGATTGTACCTACAAGAGGTGGGAATCACCAGAGGCCCCATGATACGATATTATCACGAGACTTAAGTTACGATACAATATCATTGCGATTGTGCAAGGAGTATTACAGCAACATATATTGCAGTACATTGCGATTTAATACCTTTCTTCAACTGAAAATTGTGTCCCAAAAAGAAACAAAGTTTGTCAACATTTGTTTTATCAAATTAGGTTTCAGTCTGTTCATTGAGCCCAGTCTCACTCCGAGGTTGTTAAAATCCAGCACTTGGGCAGTGACTTGCAGCATCAGATACCAACGAAAAAAGGCGTCCTTTAATGTCTGCATAATATGCGGACGGTTGCCGTTATAGTTTAATGGCGCCCAGTGGCATCAGAGGGAAGCATGGCGGGACAAGGACGAAAGATAAGACGGCGAAAGTCTGAAAGGAGCCGGGGGGAGGGGTGGATGGGTCCAACAAATACTGACTTTCACTTTAGAGTGCGGTGTTTGCGTCCCATAAGATTCTAAAGCCACTTGCTTTTGTTGCCTAAACCTAACCATGTTTTAGTTGTTGGAGGAAAAAAAACACGTAAATTCATGATGCTGTACCGCTGTAGTGCTTTTATAGAGACTGTATGTAAATGTTAAATTTCCGGTGAAAACAGAAGTGTATTTTGAAAAAATACAATGCATGTAATAGTCAGAACTTGACATGGTGTCCCAGAAGGTCAACAACCAACACACCCAGGGTACCTTTCAAGTCATACGTGGACGTGGAAAGTCCATGACCAAACGTAAATATATGTGATGAAATCGGAGTGAGAATGTGTTGTATTCCACCACGGTTTATTTTTTGGTCTCAATTTTAATAATCTATAAAATAAAAGAATCGATACTTGGCTTTCCTGTATCGATACAATACAACTCCTCCAAGATATATATAATAATTACTGCCTAGCTAAACAGTATTGATTATGCTGAAATACTATGTTGAATAAAAATATATCTACAGTACTGTTCCATTGACTTATTGCTGTTTTCTCATCTTCTTTGTAGCAGCGGCCCCAGAAACAGTCCCTCACTAAATCCTTGTGTCAGGAAACTCACTGGAAATGCCTGCTGCTGTCCCTTCTGATGTATGGCTGCGTCGGCGTGATGGCCTGGTGTCAGGTGACCAAGGTCACACGCCTCTCCTTCGACAGCGCCTACAAGGGAAAGTCTATGATGTACCACGACAGCCCCTGCTCCAACGGCTACATCTACATCCCTCTGGCCTTCCTGGTCATGCTCTACGTGGTCTACCTGGTGGAGTGTTGGCACTGCTACACCAGGAACGAGCTGCAGTACAAGGTGGACGTGGACAGTGTGGGGGAGCGCATCCAGAGGATGCAGCAGGCTACACCCTGCATCTGGTGGAAGGCCATTAGCTATCATTATATCAGAAGGACGCGGCAGGTGACGCGCTACCGTAACGGGGATGCCTACACCACCACGCAGGTCTACCATGAGCGTGTCAACACCCATGTGGCTGAGGCGGAGTTTGATTATGGGAACTGTGGGGTTAAGGACATCTCGAAGCACCTGCTGGGCCTGGAGGACTTCCCCATCACCAGGCTGAGGTTCACTAAGTGCTTTAGCTTTGCCAACGTGGAGTCAGAGAACTCGTACCTGACCCAGCGGGCCAGATTCTTCACAGAGAACGAGGGCCTGGATGACTACATGGAAGCCAGGGAGGGGATGCACCTGAAGAATGTAGACTTTAAGGAGTATATGATTGCCTTTTCTGACCCTAATCACCTTCCCTGGTACGCAGCCAACTCCACTTTCTGGGTGGCAGCTGCTTTCACCCTCTCCTGGCCTCTGCGGGTGCTGACTGAGTACCGCACTGCCTGTGTACACTACCATGTAGAGAAGCTGTTTGGCTTTGACTATGTGCCAGTAACACCATCTGAGGAGCGGCCACATTGCAGACACATCCCACGAGTCAACACAATCGACAGCACGGAGCTGGAGTGGCACATCCGCTCCAACCAGCAGCTGGTGCCCAGCTACTCAGAGGCAGTTCTCATGGACCTGGCCCAGCTCTCAGGGAGCTGTAACAACTACTCCGTATGTGGAGGCTATGGTAGCTACAGGCAGAACTGCGAACGCTGCCACCGCGCCATCAGCAGCTCCTCCATCTTCTCTCGCAGTGCCCTCAGCATCTGCAACACGGGGAGCCCCCGCATCCCCTTCAGCGCCAGCCGCTTCTCGCTGGGCCGGCTGTACGGCTCCAGACGGAGCTGCCTGTGGAGGAGCAGCGGGAGCCTGAACGAGCGGTCCTGCCCCACAGAGAGCACGCGCTGTCTGTCAGGCCAACAGAGCAGTGAGGAGAACCCTCCAGCCTATCAGGACGCTCTGTACTTTCCAGTGCTCATTGTGCATCGCAACGAAGGCTGCCTCAATCACGACCACCGCTCCCTGCACAGAAACGGCTCCTGTGTGGAGACCTCTCTATGACCCACAGCTGCCAGACTTATCTGAGCAAGGAATATAATGACACAGGCACAGAGTGAGAACCCTCTTTACACCAGGGTAGGGCTAACTATGACTTCTACTTCTCCTTTTTACAACAGAATTAACTACAAGTTCCCACATACAAAGATCTGTTCAAGTTTCTAAAGGTACTGTAGCCTCAAACAAACAGGAAACAGTACATGTAGGAAAGTCCTTACAGTACAGTCAGGGAAAAACAGACTTGATGCTAATGATGAGACTGTTGCTAAAAATACAATGCGGCTCTAAAGGACCAAATTGCCAAAGTGTCACGTATCGTCCTACACCGTCCATACGGACAAGAGTCAAATAACCAAGGAACACGAAGGGGAGTCACTTCCTACTGTAAATGCCATATTTGTAGATGTTAGTCACAGACAATTTACAAGGACATGAGTAACACTTTCTAGTATTTGAAGCCTAACAGGGGTTTTGACTCAGCAGTAGCCTAAGAAATTGCCAAGAAATGAAAGGGATATGACAATTAATGGATGTCTGAATGAAAAATGAAATTGACTCACACATCACAGGAGTGATGAGTTCATGTGAGTCACATGAAATGGGTGAATGATGAGGGAAAATGCAAAGATATCAGCCTCCTTGTCAAAACATAACATAATTAACATGACTGAATACTTTTGCTGAAACAAAAAACATCCCATGGCTCTTATAAATTAAGTAAGGCCCACATCTAAAATCTAAACAGCTGCATGTGAAACCTTTTGATACTGGCTGATTTAATTCTGTACATTCAAAGAACACATTTCCATAGTATAAAAATAAACGTCTGATGCAGATGCTGAAATGTCAAGTTAGCTGAAATCGGCTTGGCTGGGATGACATTATACTTCCTGGCTTGCTAAATATAGCAGCGCAGTGGATGAATAATTTAGCACAGGAGGGCTAAAGGACACGAGAACTTCAAACTGAATCAACAACACGTCTTCAAACTGTTAATTACTATAAACTGTACATTTTCTATAATGGGCGACTACATAGTAATAAACCTCATCATACTAGTAATAAATCAGTGTCAACTCAGTTGGTTTAAAACCTCAAAGATGCATTTAATTTAATATTTGGCAATATTTTTATTCAGCCTACCTCCTTATTTAAGTGCCTAGTGATCAACTGTTACCGACGAGCATAAGCTATTAAAGTCATCTCATCTCAACATCTTCCCATTAAAACATGTTGAATTTACACTCATGATAGCACTTAGTGTGTAATACACAGAAGAAACATGATCTCATTGTTCTTAAAAAATCAGGCCCTAAATGTTTTCAGATGATTTTTCTCATAATATAACACAGCTCTCGTGAACTGATGCTGCTGCTGATGCGTATCAGAGAGACAGCCAGAGAGAGCTGGCCATCAAAGACGCTAGAAATAGGCAGAGGCCTGGATTCACTACTGATAGTGTCAGATTTAATAATACGACAGGATTACTTTAAAGAACTAAAAAAAAAACCTTCCTCTCAAATGAGTGCATGCAATATCTTAGTCATGGCGAATTTATTTAACAGCCGAACCATGCACAACAATAAATGTCTAATGGAAACAGTGACGAAAATCAGGCATACCAGAACTTTTGAAACAAATATTATGTAGGGGTTAGAAACAGTTTAGCTAGTTTTAACTGTACAATTATTACAGTTATTTGTGTACAAACCAGCCTCCATCTCACAAGACTTGCAGTGAAAACTGGCATGGGCATAACATTTTCCAACATTAAAGGAACAGTGTGTAAGATTTCGGGGGACATATTGGCAGCAATGGAATATAATAGGTGTGTTTTCTTTAGTGTATAATCACCTGAAAATAATTTTGTTAGCTTAGAATGAGCTGTTTATATCTACACAGGGAGTGGCTCCCTGTCCACAGAGATCACCATGTTGCTCCACCATATTTCTACAGTAGCTCAGAGCAGACAAACCAAACACTGGCTCTAGATGGCCATTTGCATTCTCGCGTTTTCACCTCGGCCACTGTAAAAAGAAGGGTGAGAAAACAACACTGATTTGTAACATGAAACTGCTTTCTTCAGTGTTTTTACCAGTTTAAACCACTGTGTCCATTTGTTTTGTAGAAGGTGAGACCTCTGCAGATAATTCAGCTCCTGGTTAAAATCTCCTAAACATCTGGATCTTAAGTTATCAGAGACAAAAGGTGAGCACACATTAGCAGGTGCTGAACCAGCGGAACATCTCCAACAAGCCAAACAGCATTGGAGAAACACTGATTTGTTATGTGAAATGTTTTTTTTCATTGTTTTTACCGATTTAAATCACTGGGTCAATTTGTTTTAGAGAGGAAGAGAACTCTGTGGATAATTCAGCTCCCAGTTAAAAAACCTGGTCGCACTCTGCATTCTCACCACTAGATGGCACTAAATCCCCTAAATCTTACACACTGTTCCTTTAAGACCATAAAAACCATTATAATCTCCCAAATCAAAATGTTATGTTGCTTCCTGTTACGACTTGTCTTCACAATACGAGCCTGTACTGTAAATTGTGACCAATTATCCATACTCATTACATTCCATATTAAGTTTGGAGTTGCGGACCATCTGTATAGCAATACTAGAGAATACACCGAAAATACTCAAAGGGAGTGAGGCATGATAAAAACACAGACTCCATCAAACCTCACATCTGATTCAACAACAGACAGTTTAGCATGAAAACATTGTGTAAACAGGTCATCTATGCAAGCCCCTAGAACTCAGGATAGTATTCAGGGCAACAATTCTGCTTTGCAACAACATCCCAAAACCTGGTCATCATTCCTTTGTCTAAAATTTGGGTTTATGCAGACATTTTATTTTGCTTTTCAAAGGCTTCAGCTGCGTAATAACTGGATCATTTGTAAAGTGAAGGGTTTGAACGTTACTAATGTTCCTATTCCAAATAACAAAAGGTACAGAAGCAGGTCAGATACGACAGACTATCATTTTAGATCTGCTCCTCTCCAGGATTTTGGTTGCACCAGCTATTTGCAAAACCATTGCTAAGTTTTTCCTAAGTTACCAGTGACCGCCTGCTAGTTTAAATTTACTGATTTACTAAATCGGTTTGCACCATTGCAACTTAAGAAAAAGTCTAAGCGAGCAAAGACCTTTGAAATGTGTTGGTAACATATCTTCCAAATGCTTTACAACCTAACAGTTATTTTGTCATTTTAGTTACTGGATATTTTGTTAATTGAAGTACTTGAAATACTTTTTTTTTTTTTAAAGTATGATTGCCTATTATTCATACATTATTATTGAACAGCATTTCAATCAAGTGTCAGGTCATATATTCTGACCACATTCCATGTTACCTCTGTTACTTCTGAACTGTGTGATGTGTTAATCTCCACTTAGAAAACATTGACATGACATGACATTTTGGGAATACGCTTATTTGCCTTCATGCAGAGAGTTACATGAGGACATAAATAATCTGATGTCCGTACAGTACAAATGAAGCTCCCACCAACAACTTAGCTGGCTTAGCATAGCACAAAGACTGGAAACATGGGGAAACAGCTAGCCTGGCTCTGTCTGAACAAAATCAACTGATCAGCACTCCTAAAGCTTACTATTTAACATGTTTTATTGATAGACTGTGTAAAATAAAGGACATAGCCACTGCAATGTCACCCATTGGTTTGTGGATTCTTAATTTGAAGCCTTGAATTTGGCATTTTGGCCGTTTTTGGAGCCAGAAGTAACCGTGTTTGGATGAGAGGGTGGAGATAATCCTAACATGAGCTGCTAGCTTCGTTAGCATAGTGCATTTACAGCGATGGTTATCTGTGTTGATGCTAATACTAATGTCAATTTCCACTAGCAAAAAATGGGCATAAAACCATTAAAACAAAATGTACTTTCCAGAAAAACTGAACATGAACAAGACTTTTTAAGGCGACCAAAACATTACAATTAACTTTCATGAACTGAAAACACACTGAAATAGGGGCAACTATGGCTATGTGAATCTTACCTAACCAACGCTGTCGCTGTGATAGCGACTCCTCAAGAGAAGGCAACCACCTGTCACTCAAAGCCAACACACCCTAAATTATGCAGAACTTTAAGCCTTAATAACATTTAATTGTGAGTTATATAAAATTCAACCCCGTACTATTGTCAAGAACTGAGAAATTAGACAGAGACAGAGACAAAGACTAAAACAATTTTTTGTACCAGGCTGTAAACATGTTTATGTCCGTTATAAAGTTGGGCCATTAACATGAGGGTATATGGGGATTAGTCTGAATGGGCGGAAGTTCGCTGCCTAGATCAGCTTCTCATTGGGCAGAACGAGCCACCCGCTGAAGTCCCGCCCTACCACCTCCGGTTGTGTAGCAGTTTTCAACCGTTTTCAACACATCCTTTACTAACTTTTGCTGTGTTTGATCTTGCGGGGATGTAGCCATTTTTCTGCCATGGTTCGCGTCCTGTAGGTGATATTTTTGTGGGCGTGTTACACCAAAACCTGTTTCCCCCCTGCAATATTTTTGCATGTGCACTGTTGCTGTGGCACCGCCCAGAAGGATTGTGATTGGTTGAAAGAAATACAAGCAGCCGGGGTGTTTTTTTCTCCAATCTTAAAGTGAGAGTTGGCCCAGCCAGACCTTTCTTTTCTTGGAAAAGGTCTGGTGAGCGAGACTATATGGGGATTGACTCACTCTTGATGCCACCCTCAAGTGGTCATTAGAGGAACTGCAGTTTTCGGCACAGGCATGCTGCTGCTGGCTTTTATCTTTATGGTTTATTCTGTTAAAAAAAACAAATTGTTATTTTACGAGGGTAGAATCTAAGCTAGGCTTCCAGTCTAAGCTAAGCAAAGCTAACAGGCTTTTGGTTGCATTAGTGAGTTTTATATTTATCAGACAAAGACAAGAGTGGTATTGATCTTCTCCTCTAACTCTCAGCAAGAAAACAAATAAGCATGTTTCCCAAAAAGAGTCAAAGTATCCTTTAATGGTCAATGGATGATGTACCATACAACCTTTTTGAGCAAAATGAATAGCATTTTAACGGGAAACCAAATGAGATGCAGGGATTGAAACTCATTCATTCATTCAGTTTCTCATGAAGGGCTGGATCAAATCCCAGCATGCATTGGGAATCACTGTCCGTGTACTGTGGGGTGAAGTGTAGAACTGTAAGTAAACCACAAGGACAAGCATGCAAACTCCACATGCGATACAATTTTGGATTTTAGTCACTGTTTTATACTGAAGTCATCACATTCTCTCATTCCTTATTAGCCAACAAGCCTCTCAGATGGCTTCACTGTGATCCATAAATAGTCATGTGTAAGAATAGAAAATTGTGTTTACCAGTGCAATGTTTACATAACAACAGCGACAAAAAAAAGGTTCTAAATCTGACTGGAAGGTTCATAACTAGACATTTTTCCTCCACAGACGACTGTTAGCATAAAAGCTGTTGTCATGCAAAGCACTGAACCCTTTATCGTGTGTATTAAGTAGATTAGGTTGTTATGATATGTACTCTTTCACTCAAAAATGCTCGGGGGGTTTGTCTTTTTATAATTAAATGATTTTTGTGGTTTTTCAAGACCGTAGGGCAGAAAGGACTGTACTGTACTGTAAATAAAATAGAGGCGAGAGGTTAGAGTGACTGTCGATGTGGATCTTGTTCTTAGCTGAATGTGTCGCACAAACATAGAGGTGACTGAAGCAGGGACGTTTTTGATGTGAAGATGTTAAATGGTGAGTTTGTTGATTTGAAAACGGCAATACAATCGGGTGTAAAATGTGTCAGGCAACACAGCCAACAGCATCTTTGTGCTGCTTCTCATTTACTGTTTTGAATGATGTTTGTTTCCCTTTAAACCCACTTTTTAGATTACATTTGATACACCTTTGTGTAACGTTATGAACGATTTGACTGATTTAGGATCAGGCACACACACTCATAAACACAAAGACACATTTCTAAGGAAAATGACTGGGTGATTATTGATACCGATTACTGATCTAAAGAATATCAGTATTGTATCATCTGTAGATGTGCTGGTCCGCCATCAACATACAGAGCAGCTTTGCCTCTCTTCATGTGATTCTAGAAAATAAAAAAAGTAATTTTGCAAGATTTATTACAAACATGTTTTGTTGCTGCCAAGCAAAGGTGTTACTACTATATTATTAGTCAGTAGATGTAGGTTAAAAAAACACAAGTCTGTATGTATTCCAACACCACCACAACGTTGCCTTGATGTTACATAAGGATTGAATACCAAATGGGTGTATCAACATGGAAAAAAAAGGCTTCTAAATAAACTGAAATGCTCACTAAAATATGTGTCATAAATTACTTTAAGACTGAAATTTTCAGAGCTGATGATTTAATAGCTGAAGAAGACCTCAGGACACTTTTATGGATCACATGCAGTATTTAATGAAGTCTCGATTGGGGAGAATCGCAGCTCAACATAGAGAGTGTAACACTGTCTGCCATCCAGAGATTCTGAGGGTTGCCCAGTTCTTGCATTTAACCCAAACAGTATTCCCTTACAAGTTACTCCATGTTCCCAGATAAGGTTATTCTGTCCCGATCTATGGCTATGTGAGGTTTCTGTTGGTGACTGACTTTAAAAAACAAGCATGCTCACCTAGCTCGCTTGAAATCACCTTAACTGTCTCTTACAAAATGCACTAGGGCTGTCAAAATAACGCGTTGATTTTGATTAATTAATAACAGAAAAAATAACACATTACAAAAAAGTGATGCTGATTAATGGTGTTCCATGGTGCCCTTTCACCCAGTG